TGATTCTTGTGAGGTCGGTACTGACACGTGAAGCCGTATTCCTCTAGTAATTCCTGCCATCTTGTCAGATGGGTCTCACCATCTTTCATATTCTGCAACCACCGGAGAACTTTGTGGTCCGTGCGGACAATATACCGTCTACCTACATGAAACGGTTCAAATTGTCCGACACATGTTAAAAATGTCATTAATTCACGACGAGTGGTGCAGCAATTTCATGGAGGTTGAACTAACGATTTACTCTCGAAACAGGTTAGGCGCCCAGCATCCGACTCATTTCACTGGGAAAAGACCCTCCTCGTGGCAAACCCACCGGCATCACTCTCAAGCATGAACGAAGGGGTGTCGAGTCGCTTGTTTGGTGGCATTAGCATAGGTAAGGTCATGAGGTTGGCCTTTGGTTCGTACACCCCCAAAAACAAGAGCCAACCAATCAGTGGAGGCCACGTGCGCCTTCTCTAGCACTCAGTCAACGTGACGGTGGCGTCCCGCAATTGGCTGCTCCCCTCGAACCTGATTGCTCCGTGCATGCAAGAAGTCGATTAGCCCTATTTTATTCTGCGGCCTCCAGTCCCCCAAGGAATCTGACATCAGGACACGTCTCCTGTCCGAAGTGCGACAGAATAACTCAATAACACTCCAAGAGCTAGCGACGGAACGTCAGACACTAATTAATCTCAAGCACAGCTTCGCCATGATGCAGAACCCTGTCACAACTTGCTAAGTCCATACGGTCACAGCGGCCAAATAACATTCCTTAACACGGCCCAAGCAAGGGCTCAAGGCGAGATCTCCGCCCTAACCTTAACCCTGACACTAGATCTAACCCTAACCCAAAATCCTAGCCTTAAATTTAACCCTAAGCTCCGCAGTCACCTTAACCCTAACCCTAGACTTAACGCTAACCCTAAACTAAACGTTAACCCTAGCCGTAGCATTAAACCTAACCCTAAATTTAATCCTAACACTAAACCTAGACCCAACCCTAGGTCTAACATTGACACTTACCCTAACCCTAACCCTAACCCTAACCCTGACAGTATACCTGACCCTAACCCTAGCCCTAAACTTAACCCTTACACTAAAAAAACCCTAACACCAATAGTAAACCTAGCCCCAACCCTAAACCTGGCCCTAAACCCAGCCCTAACCCCTAACCCTAAACGCGAGAGTAAGCCTGAGCCTAACTCTATCTTTAATCCTTACCCTAAACCTAACCATAAACGTGACAGTAACCCTGACCATAAACCTAACCCTAACCCTAACTATAAACCTAAACCTAACCCTCGCCCTAACAATACAACTAACCTTAAACATAACCTAACCGTAAACATAACGATACACCTCGTCATAGTCCTAACCGAGACGCTTACCTAAACCCTAACCCTAATCTCAGCCCTAACCCTAACCCTAACTATAACCCTGATAGTAAGCCTGAAACTAACCCAAACACTAACTCTAAACATAATCCTGACAGTAACCTTGACACCAACCCCAATCCAAAACCTGAACCTAACCCTGACAGTAACCCTGACGCTAACCCTAACCATAAACCTAACCCTAACCCTAACCCTTAGCTCAGCAGTCACCTTAACCCTAACCCTAGACTTAACGCTAACCCTAAACTAAACGTTAACCCTAGCCTTAACATTAAACCTAACCCTAAATTTAATCCTAACACTAAACCTAGACCCAACCATAGGCCTAACATTGACGCTTACCCTAACCCTAACATTAATCCTGACACTGACCTTAAACCTAAACGTAAACTAAACCCCAACCCTAACCCTAGCCCTTACGTTAGCACTAAAAGTTACCCTAACCTAATCCCTAACCCTATAACTGAACCTGACGCTAACACTAACCTTATCCCCAACCCCAAACTTAGCCCTAAACCTAAACTTAACCCTAACCCTTACCATAACCTTAAGCTTTAACCCTAACGACAAACCTAATCCTAATCCTAACCGTAACCTTAACCTTGACAGTTGCACCTTCCTGAAATTAAATTAAGGCCCTATCGTATGTTTGTACTTCCCATTCTCGAGTATTGTTGCCCATTC